GATTCTCTGTATCAGGTATATCCTCCCTCCTACTTCTTTTGGTTCAGATCTGATTTGGTTCTTGATTCAAGATTGGTCATTGAAAATATGTTTTATGAAATAGGGAATTCGATTCCCTGCAAAGATGGGAGAAATTTTTGAAATTCGCCCTATCCATTCTGCAAGATTTGGGCGTCCATGAGATGGATATCCCATCCCTTCACCTCCATCAATGATTTTAACCACAATAGTTCAGAAACTCCATGTGCCATGGCTCTGTATTCTACTTCTGCTGAAGATCGAGCAACAACAGATTGTTTCTTGCTTCTCCAAGAAACAATATTACCAGCCACCAAGCTGCAGTACCCAGAAGTAGATCTTCTGTCATCAATGTTTCCAGCCCAGTCAGCATCAATATAGGCTTCAAGTTTCATATGGCCATGCTTGGCAAACAGAATTCCCTTTCCTGGGGAGCCCTTCAAATAACACAGGATTCGCTCTGCTGCTGTCATATGAGTATCCCAGGGAGAATGCATGAATTGGCTGATGCAACTGACAGCATATGCAATGTCTGGCCGAGTCATGCATAGATACAAAAGTTTTCCAAGAAGTCTCTGGAAGACTCCTTTGTCTTCTAACAATGTTCCATCTGAAGCAGAGAATTTATGACTCGTATCAATAGGAGTAGCAATTGGTCTAGCACCCATCTTCCCTGTTTCAGAGAGCAAATCAAKAACATACTTCCTCTGGGAGATAAGAATCCCATCCTTGGATCTAGCAACTTCTATGCCAAGGAAGTATCTCAATTCCCCCAGATCTTTGATCTCAAACTTTGCATGGAGGAAAGATTTGAGATCATTAATTCCTGAAACATCATTACCAGTCACAACAATATCATCAAGATACACAATCAGGTAAACTACCAGGAGCCCTCTCCTCTTCACAAAGAGAGTATGATCAGACTGTGTCTGTACATAGCCAAAGTTAACAAGGGCAGCCCTAAACCTCTCAAACCATGCTCTAGGGGACTATTTTAGTCCATAAAGAGATCTCTTTAGCTTGCATACCTTTCCTTTCATATCTGTTTCATACATCCCTGGAGGAAGAGACATATAAACCTCCTCATGTAATTCTCCATTCAGAAATGCATTCTTTACATCTAATTGATAAAGTGGTCAATCAGAGTGAGCAGCCAAAGATAGAAGAACGCTCATAGAGGTCATCTTGGCAACAGGTGCGAAGGTCTCCAGATAATCAATCCCATATGTCTGTGTATAACCTTTTGCAACCAGCCTAGCCTTGTATCTCTCAATGGTGCCATCAGCACGATATTTGATAGTAAAGACCCACTTACAGCCAACTGGATCCTTCCTTTCAGGAAAATCAATCACTTCCCAAGTGTCATTCTTGTGCAGGGCATCAATTTCGGATCCCATAGCATCCCTCCATTCTGGAATATTAAGAGCTTCTGACACAGACCTGGGAATAGGGTTAGAGGTAACAGAAGAAAGGTAGGCAAAATATGAAGGAGAAAGAAAACTATAAGAAAGGTGTTTGGAAATGCAATGTGCAGTACACTTCTTTTTTTCTTTCCTAATAGCAATGGGAATATCAAGGTCAGGGAAGGATGGCTCCAAAGGGGCTGAAACAGTACTTCTTGTCTCTGTTAGACAGTTTTGTATGCCCTTAACTTCAATCCGATTTGATGTACTTTTGTTATTTAGTGGAAATAAATAAAGTGCATGTTTGATTCATGTTGTTTGGTTTAATTCTGTGTAAGACCCTAAA